CTACGATGCCAGAAAAACGTGTGGGAATGAACCACGTCCATGGTCCGACTTTGGAAATGATTATGCATACAATGGAATCAGGACAAGTTGCGTTCCTCTAAGTCTTTCTACCAAACTGACCGAGTTGCGAAAACAAGGTCAAACTACTTCTATCTTAGATAATGCCTTAGTCAATTTATTAGCTACTAGTAACAAGGTAAGAATGCCTCAAAACGACAAACGATTTGTATGCCCTGCATATCTTATCTATAATATTTGCTACTACCGATCGTATTTCTTTGACCAAGGGATGTGTAAAGTTCGATTGGAGCTAAGGAATTTTGAGTATATCTTAATTTTAAAATATGTCAGCAGTTCACCTACAGATGGACAGTACCATAATAGCACAAACCTTGTCGATTCCTGATCTGTAAAGAGGGTCCGAAAATGGGCAAAATTTTTCGTACAACTAAGAATAGAGTTCATTTCTCTTTTTATGGTTGTCAATTATTTCAATTTCTTAGTAATTTACATATCTTTCTCAAAATATGTCAACTTTTTATTTTTTTAAAAAGTATGTCACAATAAATTACTAAGGAATTCTCCGAAACCAGTTTTCTTTATATATTCGAAATTAATGCTTTTGGACTAGAAACGGAAAAAGTATAGGTTTTACATCAGAAAGCCACATAACAGAAATTATATATATATATATATATATATATAATTCTGCTGATCCAGGTAGTGATAAAATGCACCGGGAAAACTACATATATCAATTAATAAACGGGTAGACCCCAAGCTTTATATGCCGGTTTGGTATTAGAAATACCAGAAAGATAAAGATAGCCAAATTTCGTGAGTGAATAAGATATGATAAAGCAATTGCACCTTTAATCTTTTAGTTAAATTCTTTAAGCTTCCTTCAGAAACTGCTCCATTTCCCTTCGTTAAAAATATTTTGACTCGCATAGTAAATATACTAAGCTATGGGATAAAAATGTTTTTGCGTAGTTTTAATAAAGTTGAAAGTTTACCATAAAAAAATTTTAATAAGAAGATACATTTACTTTACTTTTGTGCTGGTTTTGCCCTAATGTTAGCTACAGG